TTACTAATACTGGTCGGCTGGGTGTTTTAAGATTTTTTTTTTAAGCTTGTTACATTAAAATTCAATAGCTATTAATCACCTTTCATTTAGGGTAGTTGGATTAATTCCAGCATTTGTATCAGGATTTTTCTAAAAATTCAGTTGTTTTAACACCTTTCACTACAATCAAATATAAAAGACAATGGTTATTTTTGGCATTCTTAATGTCAACTGGGGACGCCAAGGAAATACTGAAAAAGGAGGATATCCTCAGCAACTCCTGCATATCTACACAAGCAACCAGATTAGAGTTCTTTATATGGAACAACTACATAAGAAACATAATCAGCATTTAAAACAGCATTTTATAATAAATGTTCATTTTTAATTATTAAATAGTACTGAAGCCCCAAGTATGAAAAATACCACTGTTAGAAATGATTCTTAAAAATGATAAATCCCTTACAAAGGCAAGAAACACTACTTTAACATTGGTATGAGTTATAGTCACAAAAGTTTAAACTAGATATTGAGCAAAGCGTTCTTAGCTTTTAAAGAAGTAAATGATGTATGGCATAGGCCGGCTACAAGACATCCTTTATAGGTCAAGGAAGGTAGCAAGGAGCAGTGGAAAGAGCACTCACTGACCAGATACACAGGAGACCCAGATTCTGGCCTAAGCAGCCCCTCATGAAGCAGGGATCTGGGGAAAGCCACTGGGGCCCTAGCTTCCTGCTCTGTGTTAGTGGAGCACGCCTGTGTAGATCGGTGGAGTGGATTTACTCCAAGGGAAATGCAAAGTCAAATTTCTTACATGCATTAAGTTTTACCTGAAACAAACACACACAGATTAACAAACACAACAGACTACAGGAATTATTTTTCCAAATGTATGTAGATGTCATTAAATAAATAAAAAGGGAACTCAAAGAGCAGCTGTTTGTTAACGATGCATTTTTTTAAACAAAAGGATACTAAAAATATGACCACCACAAGAGCTAATGGGAAAACAAAATGAACTAAGAAGGGTTCTCACACCATACTGTTACCACCACTGTCCATTCATTCAGGGTGAGGGCCAGCATGGGACACTCTCAGTGGCAGAACCCATCTGCTCTACCAAGCAAGTGAGCAGTATGCCAGCTCAGGAGCTTTTCAAGTATAGTGGAGGCAAAGGTGGGCATCGCTGCAGGGACCATCCAGGAAATACAGAAGTCAGCCATGAGAGCAGTGGAGAGAATACACAAGGCCAGGGTGAGTTCCTGAGTTAAACCTCAGTCCTGACATTCACTCAAGGCAAGAATTTATACAATTGTAAACCTCAAATTTTCTCATCAGTAAAATGAAATAAATATCAAAAATTAAACTATGTGAAAAGAGTAGCACAGTGCCTGGGCACAAAGTAAATGCTCAACGTTAGTTTACTTCCTTAATAAACAGCTGGCTGATCTGAGGATTTAGACGCACTGCAGAGACTTTATAGAGCCACAGTTCTTAATTCAAATTTTTTTTCAACATTTTAGGAATCTACTGATTAGCATCCATGGTTGAATCGAATACTCTCTCCAGAAAAATTCACATACATAGAAGACTCTGCAAGCAATTTCAGGAAGTTCATTGACCACGCTAAACTCAAGAGTCCTCGGGGCCTATGGACCTCAGACCGAAAATGTGTAGAACACGAATAAATTATTTAAAACCTGAATTTGTATAATGAAAAACTATGTGACAACAGATAATGCTTAATGAATGCTTATTATATGCTTAATGCCATGCTAAGCAATTCAATGAATTATTTCATTATGCTCTGCAACAACCCTTGAGGTAGACAGTAGTGCTATGCCCATTTTATAAGTGAGAAAACTAAGTGTTAAGAAGGTTAATTAACGTGTCCCGTTACAAAGGAACGCATCATAAGAAAAACATGTTCTCTAAATAATACACCAAAAACAAAACCAGTAGTTCAAAAAAAATGATGGAAATAAAATAGTTCAACCCACTATTACAATCCTGTCTTATTTATCTGTGTTAGTCATTCAACAGAGGTCTTAAACATGCAAAAAGATAGGACTACAACATAAAAATATATAAACGAATTAGTCTAACCCTTGATCTCCTAGTAAGGAAGGGGTTAGGTGCCCCCAACAAGAATTCCAGCCTGCAGAGCCACATCCATGACAATGAAAATAAATATGCATTTTAAGTCTCCTTTAAATAGTTGTACCTTTCTGCTTTGGATAGAGTCTCTGTCCTTGCCACTGAAACCATCCACCATTGGGAGCACCTGGGGGGTGCGGGGGGAGGGGGGGTGCGGGGGGCACAGAGGGGAATCTCTGCCCAGTCTAGGGAGAATGTGGCAAATGTTTTCTTTGCCATCTCACATCCCTCGCTACCCCTGAATTGCCAGCAAACACAGCATTTCTTGCTTTAAAAAAAAAAAAAAAATCCAAGCTAACAGATTCTCCATAAGTAAAAAGGCTGCCTTTCCAAGCACAAATACTTTAAATACGAACAGATAAGTTAAAAACTTATAAAACTAAATCTATGAGTTGATGTCATCATTACTGTAGAAACACAAATCATATATACCTGAATACACAAAGAAAGTTAAATTATGATGCAGTTAGCACTACCCTATAAAATCTAAATTAACAAAAATAGTCTATTAGGGAAGACATCTGGTGTATCATGGCAAGAACTGTTAATGATATTGTCTGCAACCCTGTAATCAATTTTTTTCTCCCAGCAGCTCTCTCATTGCACTGTATTAGATCTGTGTGCCTGCAGAATTTATGAGAGCTCCACACATGGGGGGTAGCTTTGCCAACTGGATCTGATTCAGATCCAGCTCAAATGACTTTGGCAGCATGAAGCGTTGTTAAAGAACAATCAATACAGTTTGTTTTATGCAGCTTCATCTTGACTCAAAGAAGATTTATTATCTTATTACAGAATCTTCTCAAACCTACATACGATGGTATCTGAGTATGCCACCGATCATGAACTTATTTAAATCCCCACTGAACACAATACTTCCACTGCTATAAATAAATAAATAAATAAATAAATAAATACTGGTCATCACTAATGCTAATACAAAAAGTTTACTAAAAATCAATGTTATTATGAGCAAAATTTTAAATCCATTCAACAAATCCTGACTAGTGAGTATTGTGGTAAATGAAACAGTCCAACAATGACATGCACACTAAATGGAGAATAAAGTGAGAAATTATCAGCCTGAAAGATAAAATCATTTCTCAGATACATATGGAAACAAGATGATAACTGGTAAAGGCTGAAGTTTTTAAAGTAGGTAGTCAAGCTGAGACTCTGCTAATTTGTCCCTTATGATGTCAGTGTATCTCTCCAGGGATTAAAATTAGACTTTTATCCACTACACTGGGTCTTATCTTCCACTGTGAATGGTTATTATATCAAAAATTCCAAGGATTTTGTGAACCTTTTTTCTGGTCTAATCCTTGATAAATTACACGAGCAACTATTAGAACGTGAAATTATTGTTGTGATGATGTATCATTCGTAGTTTTGTGTATGGTTATGAACAGCCTGTATCTCCACTGTCCCGGTCCTCTTCACTTCACACATGGGTGACAGCCCCCACCACCTAACTGGAGCTTCCACAGTCTGCCCCAACTCCACACTGCTACCCAATCAATCTTCTTGGAATAAAAAAGCCCACGAAGGCTTCTCTTCTGCCTATCACACAAAGATCTTCCCTTGTCTCAACTTTACAACGCTCTATGATCTGGCCCCACATTATATCCCAGCTCTGCTCCCACAACCCACTAACCTGTGCTCTTCACGGATGTCCTGTGGTCATCTTCTCTCAAATCCCAGCTTCCCCGGGCCCACAGCCTGCGTGGCTTACAGAGACAGGCTGACATGTACACCTGGAAGGTTCCTCCAGTCTCCCTGTCCACGTGTTACCGATGCATCAAAAACAAACCCAGCTCCTCAAAACCTGCCTACCTTCACAGAACTTTCCCAAGTGCTAGAGCCCACGTGAAGCACTCTCTTCTCTTAGTTTCAAGATATTATTTTTCTACACTGCAATTGAACAATTCATTATATATTGCCAGTATCTTGTATTATGCACATGCATATATGATGGCTATTCCCTGGTGTTATTTTCTAATTGAGTATGCACTTGAACCCCACAGTCAGATCACATACAAAAGAGAAAGACAGGTCTTCAACTTCTTTCACGATTAACAGCAGTCAATCAGAACAATAAACACACCTGTCTTTCAGAAAATCTTATAATTAAATCCTTATAAAGGGGGGGAAAAAAGGAAGAGACAGGTGTACATACAACTTTCATAAAAGGTGAGATATATCACACACAAATAACCCACATGGATCACTAACACCAGGCCCTGTGTTCTAGGGATAAAGCACCACAGACACTTCATCCTGCTGTACCTCACACACATCATTAGCACCAGGTACCAGAGACATTACCAGGGCACAGCTGAGAGCACCAGATCTAAACCCTAACTCAAGACTTTTGAAGTGTTTAATTCTGTATCTGGCATTGCAGAAAAGCCTAGCTACTCCTGAGCAATATTCTATAAAATGTCACCTGAGAGGACAGCATCCAAAATAATTTAGATTCGTGGGTCGTGAGTCCCAGTGATGCTGGGGAAGTGCACATTCCACACGTGGACTCCAACTTACCCCCTTTTTCCCCATTTCAGTTGCCAACATCCATACTCGCTGCTGATTGCCAGCTCCTGCTCCTTGCAGCGGCCCAGCATGCTCTCTGCTGGCACCCAAATGCCCCACACCACCAAACCCCGCTGACTTCTGGAACTGTCCTAGAGGGGTAAGGCAAGTCCCGTATTTTGCTTCCTCTGTGCATGTACTTGTTACTCCTTTAAAAACACATACAATACAGCACATTTTTAAAGGGGCTCTGGGGAGGGAGGTAATATTCCTATTTTATACCCTATGGGATATAAAATATTGATAGCTTTTAAAAACGGGATTCTCCTTACCCCTACAGGCCCTCTCCCGGCTTCAGAAAGATGTTGTGGTGGCTGTGATGCCACCGGCAGAGAGCATGCTGGGGGGTCACACAAAGCAGGAGTTGGAGATCTGCAGCAGGCCTGGGAGTTGTGGACCTAAAAAAGAAAAGAGCTTTCAGTTAGCATGCCCAACGTCCCCTCCGGCCCTGGTTACTAGGGGCACGCAGCACACAAGCAGGAATCTGCACCATCCTTTAGCAGATGGCCTTTCAGAGAATTCGTTCTACTGCTGAAGTTAGCCTTTCTGCATCAATCAGAGCTGTTTCCTTATTTCAGCAAGAACAAGCCTATGACCCTTCTGGCTATAAAATGTCACCTGAGAGGACAGCATCCAAAATAAATACGGGACCCACAGTGGAAGCTGGGTCCTGTTGTAAAGCAGTATGGTGTGTGCCCCCAAAATAACCAAGTTAAGATGCGACACAGTGCCAAAGCACAGTGACAATGGCATGCTTTGCTTAGAATAAAAACAAAAAAGCAATGGTATCAGATAAACACAACTATAAAATGAACCACAAGTGGACAAACTGAGCTTTCAGAAGAGTTTCCAATGCGAGATGCTAGGGTCATTAGACAGATACTTAATAAGGAATTATTCAAGACATCAGGGGGTCAAAGAAAGACCCTATCATTTTCTCCAAGTCCTAGTTTAATTTTATAAAGCTAAAGGGAAGGTAAAAGACAAAGGCTTAATACCAGAGGAAAAAAAGACACCATTCAAATGAGCTTTAATTTTCTCACAACGCCCACCTGAACAGATACAAAACATAAAGCTCAAGAAAGGCATTATTTCTTTTAGGGGCAAAACCAGTTCTGGTATGTATCACACGTCTATTTTATTTTTCTTTTAAACTTTGAAAACATTTAAAAGCAGCAGCAGATTACAGAGCAACTTCTGAAAGCCAGCACTGTCCTTGTAAGAATCAAAAAGATACCTCAAATAACAGTTTGAGTGTGTTCCCTTTCAGATATTCTAGAGAGTACATAACACTTCCAAAAAACTAACCGATCCAATATTGTGTTGGCTTTAAATGGACTAAAAACTCCGTAAAATCCAGATACTTATATAAGAATCTTTGTTCTTAAAGGTGTTTAGAAATGACAGATAAGCAAACTTTTAAACCATTGTTTGGGAGCCTTATTACACTTAGTTTCTTTTGAATCACTAACAACCTCCTGTGATCCAAGATTTTCATATCATCCATTAATTACTTATTTTTCTATGTCTCTTTTAAAACAAACAAACAAAAACATGAATCCCAAGAAAATAAGCCAATACTGGGAATGTCGGTCTTCACAATGGTTTTTTTCCTTTCGGTACAGATGGCCCTCTAGAGTGTACGCTGGGTGCCACACAGGACACTTCCCGTGCGGCCAGTCTCTGGCTCCCACTGCCTCAGGGACAACACATGATGACACCAAGTGTTGTTCACAGCATAACCTTAACCACCGCACACCCCCTCCTCCCCATACCAGTGCTGCAGATTCCAAATCAAAGATTCAACTGTGCACTAGGATGTACAATATACTTAATATTTTTTACCACAATCATCCAATAAAAATGAATTGCTGGTTAATTTTTTGCACTAGGAATTCATTAATCAGATCACTCAAGTCTTTATTCATTCAGATCAAGAGTTTTAAACCAAGAAGACACTTAGTAAGGCATTTCAAATCACCTTGGCATTGTTTTAAATATGCAAAAGTTCAAATAATTATTAAAACATTTTAAGTATTAAAAATACATTTTAAAACATATCACTGTTCTTATTTATCAATCAGAAAACATGGACAGTATCTGTTTCCCTGATTTTCTTTCAATCCTTCTAATGGGTTTTACTTGGACTATATTGAGTCCATTCTTAAACACAAACACCCACATACATAAACAAATTACAAATGTCCAGTTCTAAGGAATCAAGTTTGAATAATAAGACTTTACCAATATTCTTGCATAGCAGCTCTCTGCAAATATCAAATTGTCTCAAACTTAGGCTCCTTTTTTAGAAAAGATGAGAATGCCTAGTTTTCCACATTGAAAATATTTCACATAGAACAGGTTTATTAAACAACATTTTAGATACATATTTTATAGAACAGTATAATTAAACAAAACTCTTCCAGTGATTTCTTAGTCCTAAAATCCAAATAGACCAGGAGAAAACAAATTACCCAACTTCACAGTAATTGTGAACCATTAAAACTTTAAATCCCACGTGGCCTATAATGACTATCAGTCATGTGAAAACAGCCTGCTGAGAAGCTGAGTAAATGGGGCCAATAAGATGCTATGAGATTATTTATTCCCAAAGCCTCATTGTGATTTTCACTTACGTGAATACCATCCTCTCCGTTTATATCATGCAAAAAGGCGATGGTGATTCAAAATAACTTTCAACATGATTGCCCCATAACTGGCAGGAGGAATATCTAACAACATTTTGTCCATTAAACTTGGGGCTAAGGATTTCATCCCCCTCCTGCTTCTTAAAGGATTAAAAAAAAATTATAAACTTCAAATTTACATGCGAAAAGGACGTTTAGTCTCAGTGCATATATTTATTATTGGTGGCTTACTCCAAACAAACAGCATGGAGTAAGTCCAATACCCCATTAGAGTTTATTATAAATGCTTATAGATAAGAACTAAGCAACCACGGCCTTTACTTAAAACAAAGGGAGAAAAAAAAGGTGTGGCCTCCAGAAGCACCAAATCAAGAACATGCATCTTTTCTTGACTTAGAAATCACCATATAAGAAGAGTGGTGTCACACTGACCCACTGACTCCTAACAGGGGAGAACAACTAAACTAGCGGAAAGGAACAACTCCTTGGGAAGAAATTATTTCAGTTGTACGTTCCATTATGTCTCTAAGTAATACTTAATTCCTCACTCTACAAACTAAAAACAGTTGATAATGAACTTCATGGGTCTCACTTCATTATCCAACACTACACTCCAAGTCGCAAAGCTGTGTGTGGGTGGTACTGACCTTTTCCTAGGAAATGAACTAAAAGGAGAAAAAGGAAGTATGGAAAGAAACGTTCACTTCTGCAGCCCTAACTTGAGGGACTATCAAGAAGAGAAAAACAGCCACGTTTTACACAAAAGTGAACCATCACACCATAAGGCATTTTTCCTATCCACCCGACTTCTCGGGAATGTTTACCTATAGACTAAGCCCTCGTTACTTTTGCCAAAAGCCAGTAATATCAAAAATTCAAAATAGATTATAATGCCTAAAAAATGTTATGACTTTAGCTACACTCGTAAATTTTCTGAAGAAAATAAGAAACTGAGTTTTAACGTCTTTTAAAAACAGATTATTATTGAAACCTATAAACTACTACACACTGCAGGCTAACCAAAATACTACACACTGTAAACTGAAGGTAAAGAAACATGTCTTTTTGGTTTGTTTAATAAACAGAAGGTTAATTTGTAGTTAATGCATCATATCAAATTACTATTAAAGTTTTTCTAAAACTTTATGCAGTGAATTTTTTCCACTGAAATGTTATTTCATTCAATATTCAATAAACATTTATTGTGGATCTTATACGGGCCAGGCAATGACCTAATAAGCACACAGTATACATCAGTGACTAACACAGGCATGGTGTCTGCCCCTACAAAAGCTTAGACCCAGAGCACCAATGAAACATCAACATCACTACCATGTCACTCCATGGACCAGGCACTATGCATCCACTCTGTGGGCTTGATCTTTTCGTCTAAAAACCTCCTACCTGCAAGGTAGGTGCTTTATTTATACCCCAACCTCATAGGTAACTAAAACAAGGTTAGGAGGGTTAAGCATCTTGCCCAAGGTAGTAAAAGATAGCAACTGAAGAACAGACCAACTGATGTCAAAGTCAAGCTCCCAACACATGGACTCTACCATCCCTCCTCTCAGTCCCCGAGTATCACCTCAAATTCTGAATTACTCATACTCACACTAATGCAGACCCCTGTCCCACCTCTAGAAAAGTTCTCAATACAAGATTTACCTAACATTAAAATGAATGCCCACTTCCTTAATGTTTATACACCATACATTCTGTGCTGAGTGGTCACAGCAGCCAAGGTGGGATTAAGTAACTGTGGCATGTGATGCACACATAATAATTAACTCATTGTACATACACACAGAAGTGTGCACAGAGTGCATATTAACAAACTATCCCATATCCTCAGCATTATCTATGTAAAGGACTCTAACAAAAAATGAAAAGATAAAATTCCTTATCCCCAGTAAGTTTTCATTTTAAAGACAGAAAAGCAGCTTCTTGCTTTTAATCTACTTCCGAGAAACGTGATTTGGTGGAGAGAGGACAACATCAATTGTGTGTAGGAAGCTGCACCAAAGCTAATTTCTCTGCAGCCCCTCTCTGTTGTACTGTGGCAATCAACTTTTGGGGTAGAGTTACAGATGCAGACTAGGAATCAGAAATTCCAAATGTTCCTCCCCTGGCTGCTCACATTTGGCAATGAAACCAAGAGGGAGGTGGTGTTAAATCTTGAATAACATGGCCCCCACGTTCACAGCAGTACTGGAGACGTGCCTTTGCCAAGGTAACTAGCGGTATGCAGCCCCAGCTACCCCACATTCACAATTAAAATGTATGCTGTCAGGGACATAAATGATACAAAAGAACAGTCATAACAACTTACTGAGCCCCAAACAGTTGGCTAAAAATACCATAATATCCCTAATGATATATCCCCAACTTCAGGGAATCTCTAAGACCAGGTTTAATTTTAACAACAACATTTCCACGGTTAATAAACCAAACAGGAGCCAAGATGAATCAATGGTATTTGCTCAAAATGGTATTTGTAATAATTATATAACCTACACGGAAATTCATTTCATATAACAGTTAAAGAATCAGTAACTATATAACTCTAGGAAACCAAAATCTCATTTTTTTTCTCCTTTATGAATGATAGGAACTCATTGGGAATCCACACAGAATGCCCATGTAGAATATTAAAAGGAATGGCTTCAATTACTTATCTGTGAGTGAAGAATTAGATATGAAATACTACTACCAAGAGCCAGAAAAGGTACTCCTCGGTGTTCTACTGCCGGAAAATCACTAATCTAAACAATCTCGTGAAGCACTTTCGGAATTTACGATTATTTCTAGAGAGCAAATTCACTCTATTATGTTGAAGGCCTAGATTTCTATAAAAATGGAATTTTATTCATTTTTATAGTAAAAGCAAGAAAGAAATCTTTCTTTGTGGACAAAAGGTGAATGGCTTCCTTCACATTAATCCTATTCAGAATGTTCTCCAAAGAGGACTGATATCCAGTAATGCCACAAATATCTGTCCAATTAGAAACTAAGGTCACAGAGGGAAGGAACTTTATCCTGCAGACTTCAGTCTCTTTCAAGGTGCTGCGCCCAACAAAGCACACAGAGTAGGCTTTCGTTAAATGCCTATCAAAGGCACTAGTTACCACCAAAAACATTCCTCCCTGCACTCGGGAATATAATGCTCCTCAGACACGGACTCACTCAGGAACAGAACTCTGAAGGCAAACGAAGTCACACACTGACCTAGGAAAGCTAAGGGAGTGCAAGAAAGGGTTGAAGATGTTATACCAGGCTCCTTCATTTAATCATGGAGATCCATTCAAGCTGGCCCAAGAGAAGAGGCCTTTACTGAGCAGAAACGAGGATAATCCGAGAATCCGGAGGGAAGAAGCATTAGCACAGCGGGCTTCGCCAGAGTTCAGGGAGAAGGCATGCCCTCGTTCCTGCTGGCCATCTACTGCTCTCTGCACAGATCTCTGCTCTTCTCTGGCTTCCCCTACCCTATCACGTGAGCTTGCCTGTGACCTGTTTATGCCTGCCAACCCTCTCTGCATTGAGGCGACTCTTGATTCATCCTTCCGGCTTTGCCCCCTCAACTAACTGCTTCAGTCTCTCAATTATCTTTTCAAGCAAGGCCACAAACATCATAGATTGCCATTCCATATTACTACTCTTTCAAAGAGCTAAAGATTTTGCTAGCTGCCTTATTATTTAGTTCAGAAGCCTAAGGTGCAAAGCTGACTTACCTAATTGATGACCCCTCCCTATTCCTACTTCTAAACATACACTATCCATAATTCCACCTTACCTCTCCTGTCTCTTGAGCCTGCTTTTTGACTACTTGTTCCATAGATATTTTGTCATTGTAGTCAAACAAATCCAGTTTGGTCTCCTAGTCTGTAAATAAGCCCAATCAAATTAACACTCCCTAAGAGGAAGAAAGCTTCCTAACAGAACACATAATTTGCTTCTCGTGAAAATGCTACTTTCAAAAGTAGCCTCAGTTCTGCTAGGAACTCAATTACTTTGTGCCACCATAGCTTCCACCTATCCCTGTGAAAGTGCCAACTCTAAACAGATCTACCAATGTATAGTGGTAGTGACTCAGGCATTTTGATGGTTAAATGTTAACAAAGCAGAAGCCATGGATCTTATCCCCATAGGCAAGATGACCATATAAACTATCATCCAAAACAAGGATACCTTTGAGAGTGAAAGGGGACACTGTTTAACAGTTTGCCAGGTTTAATGTAATCCTGCACACAGAGACAACTATGTTCCATATCATGGACTCCGACTCTATGGGACATAGTAGCAGAGCCTAGAAGGCAACCCAGGTTCCCATGTAAAATCCGAAGACCCTTCTTATCTCTCACAGAACTAGTTCCTGAAATGTTACCCAGGGTCCTCAGTTCAACAAATTGGCATTATGCTAGTTTGGGTTACTGGTCACAGATGATTCATTATGCCCGCTTCTCAAATCCTTAACTTCAATTGTGTCTAACACTGTAATCTTATGTAATATGTACCATAAAGGCAACTGCCCATTTCTTTTTACAGTCCCAAATATACCATATATTCAAAAACTCACCATGGTAAGGGGTCATTCTAATTCACGGTATAAACAAAGGAACACATCTCTCAGTTACAACCCCAAACCAAAAAAGCTTAAAAAGATAAAATATATAATCAACAATATTTAAAGGCTACTGGGTTTTTGTTTTCCACTGCTCCACTTGCCATGCATGGTATTTGCTGTGGGCAAAACCAACTCCAATTTCTTCTTTTTAAAATCTTGCAGAGAAATAAAGCATATTTCCTTCTGTTCATCTTTTCCCTTATAGCCTGGGTAAGCTGAAGGAAAAAAAAAGCTATGATTATTCTCATCTATTAAGTTATCTTTTCATAAGTAGAACTGCAAACCAAGGGAAGAAGAAAGTGGATATCCAGACAATAACTACCCTCCTTCTAGGAGTAAATATTTCACCATCTCAGTTATTCTTATACAACAACTACGAGCATGTGCTGAATACAGAACTCAGACAAAAACATGAGACACAGCAGAGTGCAACTTACATACTGTGCCCACTTCCCACACTGTTTCTGCAGACAGATTTAATGTGTTGTGCCAGACCGATACTGACAACAGAAGCTTCAGCTTTTATTGCTGTTAATACCCTGAGCAATTACTGTAACTCAGCAGGAACCTCTGCCCCAAACAGCAACTGTAACATTATCATCAGCATTTCATAAGAGATGCTGTTCAGACATGAAGGTACGTGCTAATGTGCTAAAACTGTACAAAAAGGGATCTGAATCTAATAGGTTAAAAAAAAAACCAAAACCTTTGCGATTTTTATTTCACAACTATATCTTTTCCATGGTGCACTGGTATTATGTTTGGTTTAAAAAAAAAAAAAATCACACACAGAGAGAATGAGCAGGGACAGAGCAGTAGCAGAGGCCACGGGCAAAAGAAAATTCTCAGGAAACAAGACCACTGCCCAGATTTTCAGATGTCAGTGCAGCATCTGCAAAAAAAAAAAATCTTTGGAAGGAAATATATAACAAATAGCAAAGACGTCTAAAAATGGCAAAACTTCATATTGACATAAAATCTAAATAGAAAGCATTTGATTTACAAATTTAAACTGCAAGACCTCCTTGTAAAACAAGGAGGGAACTTAAAACAGCAGGGAACTTAAAAGCAGCCTACCAAGAATAAATAAATCTTAGAAGTAAATGGCAGATTTGACTTTCTTTTAAAACAGTAAGCATGTGTTACTTATGCAACAAAACTTTAATAAGAAAAAAAGATGGCATGCAATTTTTTTAACTAGCTAAGTCAGAATAAACTAACTGGGTATTTGGAGTCATCAAAAATGATAAAAAGAAAGAAAGGAGATGCAGAGTTAAAGATCTCTCCATATTACATTACCTTTTTTTAGACTGAAGTATCACATACAGAATGTGAGAACACAAATATTGTCAAGTTACAAAGGGTTTTGGCAATAACAGCATTCAGATACTGATACATACCTCTACAGAGCTAAAGAATTGGGATTTCTCTATACCTAAGAAGGGAGACAGTGGTTCACAACCTTCAAGTACAAGAATCCCTTTTCAATGTTTCAAAAGATCCCCCAATGGCAATACTCTGTTAATATTTCACATATCAGTTGTTTGAGGAAAATACATAATAAACTGATTCTTAACTGTGTATTGTCATTAACTATTCAGTGAATTTTTTTTAAAACACACCAGCATATTAATATATTTGAAAAGTAGTTGTACAAACATATGTGAGGCATATTTTGAACTGAGAATGTTTATTTGCAGACCTCTGTAAAATCTCTACAGATACCCAGGGATCCAAAGCCCCAAGTGTGGGAACCACCGGTCTAAAACCCAGAGATTGCCTAATGGGCAATATCAACACCTCTAAACTTGGGGAAGGTTTGTAATGAGAAAGTATTGCAGCCATGCCATCCCCAACCCAGAGTTCCTTCCCCCAACCTCCATCACCGGGTAACCCCAAGATACATTCCAAACTCACTAAAATCTCTAAGGAAATGACAGTTGCCACCCAAAACTAGTCTCTGGCGCATTTATATTCTTTTTTTCCAACTCACCACCAATTCCCAAATTTACTTTAGGCTCTTCACAACGGCTGAGAAGAAAGAAACTACTTCAGAAACTCGAGAAAATCTCTGAAATTATCATCAAAACAGCTACTAGAGAAATGAAAACTTTGGGAATACTGTTCAAAGTACAAGCTTTGTAAGTGTTATAAAACCAAAAGGATAAAACTGGTAACTGCCTTACACGTGTGCTGCAGCTGCCAGGCAGTGAGCACTCAGAGGTGGCCTGGTTACCAAGTCCACAGCCAGGAAGAAGCAATCGAGACAGACAGCCAATGGAACTGGAAAAAGAGAAGGCACAAAGGAGAATCAACAGCACATTAAAAAATGCTTACCAGTTTGAAGTCTTGAATGCTACAGATGAAATACGGCGTGTTTGGCCTCCGACTCTCGATATACACACAGTCTTTAAAAGAAAAAAAAAATTTAAAACAATGGTATTTACCATTAAGGGAACAAAGACAGGGCCCATAAAGCCACTTCATAAATAAACACATGACAAAGCATATATCTTAGACAGAAAAACATTTTTCAAAGATAAATTGTAAATTACAAATAATTTTAAGCTAGAGGAAAACAGTCCTTGGGGTTCTTATTGACCACTTTTCTGGTAATTTAAAGAACCTGATATAAAGCCTTAATGATTGTTTCCAGGGTACTTGAAGAAGGGGGAGAAAGAAATCCCATAGGATTAACCATACTTTGACGAAGAAACTTCAATCAAGGGAATTACTTGATCACAGCTACACAAGACAAAATTTTGAATGTCTTATTCAGAGAGATGCTACCATGTCTTCACAGAGAGAAATGGCTTTGCCAAGTGCTTCTTTATTTTCAGTAAATAATTTGTGAGGAAATAAATGAAAGATGTAAAGACGACTGGCTTGAACATACTACTACAATGACCTTTTCACCTAAACCAAGAAACAGAAAGAAATCTAACCGGTTGTGGATAACTTCCTACTAAATTTCAACTTAAACACATTTTATTTTCTAATTATAAAGAAAACCAAGGCACCCAATTGGAGATGGGATGCAATAAACCAAACCACACTTTCCTCAAGGGAATAAGGGCACTTTCTTAAATTATATTTGACATGGCAATGGTTGGGTAATTATTTCTGATGCTCTCAACAGCTGGCGTCTAAAGGCCTGCTCTTTTAAATGGCAGGTTAAGATAATTTTTTCTTTCTTTCTTTTTTTTAAGCAGCAACGATTTTAAGGAAGCAGTGGCTATAAAGGGACTTTAACACTCTCCACACGGCAACCCAAGATCATCATAAAGCTTAAGATAGGATCCTCTATGTATTATTTACTGAGAACTAAAGGCATCTGCAGTCAATCAAATTTTCTAGGGATAATAACCATAATACCCACATTCAAAATGCCATTTGTTTTATCCCTCCTCATGACCCTTCATAATGAGTGTATCTTAGAATAACTCAGATGCTTAAGAATACAAGCAGATTCCTCCACTGCCTTATGTTACACATGCAGAGCCAAGAAAAAGAAAAGGAGCAGAAATATGGAGCCACCATCCTGTGGACAGCCCAGTACTACCACAAGCACTAGCTGACCCACTAAGAGGTAGGTCATGAAGAAAACCCTCACCAAGGACACTTCCTTCCAAGAAACTTTCTGAAAGACATCAGGATTTTTGTAGGCCAGAGTCATTCCAGAAAAAGAAGAAATCTGAATGCCAATCATCCAGGCATTCAGAATGTCCCAACTGATTTCTCTACTCAGACGGAGACTCAACAAAGATTCGATCCCTGAATCCATGTACAACAGTAGAGCTCAGGAATAAACTGTTGACTGAACTTTCTATTTTGTTCCAGGGTCCAGGAGGCTAAATAACTCTGCTGAACATTCAGGCAACATCCATTTAACATGCCAATCATCTTAAAGAACAAGAGAACTCTTCCTACTTCAGTAGGTATTTGTCTTCCTAATCCCTAATTTGGTATTCAACTAAAAACATTCCCTAGATAAAAAACTGCAGTTCCAATTTGCACAATTTTGGAACCCAAGGTTCTTAATTTCTGTGCCCCGATCCCTGATGTACCGAACACCAGTATTTCAAATCTCTAGATATCAATTATTCACCTGTCTCACTCAACCTGAACACAGATCAGTCTATAGACCCTCTTCTCCCCATCACCTCCTACAGACAGCCTTCTCTTCTAAATCTCGTAACACTGTCATACCGAGCTATATACTCACTGAGTTCAACCCAAATGGGTCACTTCCCAACTAATGACTTCTACTTCCTTAAAGTTCATGGGACCACAATGTGCTGCATACAATGGTCTGGTCCTGCACCACATCTCAACCTCCACTGGGCTATAGTATCCAAAATTCCACTACCTTGTCCACGCCAAACCCTCTTAACTCCTTCATTCCACCGGCACCCACTTTATAATGAGTTAGCTCCAGGGCCAGTATATTCTCATGGTCCCTCTGTAAAGAAATGGCAATATCTCCTTTCTTTAAAAAGCTTTATGTATACTTTTCAGTATAATGTATACAGAATCATTTTAACTATAAACCTTCTAACTCTGAGGCTTAAAGTAGCTACTAACTTGTATACAAAAAAGCTTTCCAGAAAAGGAGACTCTATATTCTTACATTTCTCATTGCAAAGTTACATTCAGGAAAATAATTATCTATAAATATACCTGGATGTAACACTCTCAGAGAAGGGAGGAAAGGACTAGACTGGGATGTAGAGACCCCGGTATACCCCTGGTATCCTTGTGCCTAAACGCTTCTTGGCAGTCTTGGAGGCGGACTCCCACTTGTTGGCCCGAGGAATGCTGCCGTGAGAATAAGGTGGTGTGAAAAAGAACCTTAAACCTGACAGATGGAATTACCACATTTACTTATTAATGCCTTGTTAATAGATAAAAAGTCACCTCTTTTTGTTTAAAAATCTACTATGTCAAACCAAACTGATCCTAATTCATATGTGAGATTTCCAATGCACATGACTAATAATCTGTAAAACAGATCACTGTATCAAGTGATCTCTATCAGTATTTGGAAACTTATACATGAAAAACATACACTCACTTCATAATTAAATGACAAAATTTAGAAGTTTATTTTATGCAAGTAGTCATTAAACACAGAACCACCTAAGATCAGGAGTAATATAAATTAAAATTTTTCACCATGTCTAACTTGCCATAGAAATGGGAAAAAAGATTGTTTTGGTCTGACTTCTTAAATTCATTTTAAAAATAAAAGCACAAAAAATTACTGTAGAGTCAATTTTTCCTTTATTATCCTCCCATAAAAATTAGGGTGATCCAACTGTACATCCTAAGAAACAATTTGGAATTCAAGTCTCAGGGGGAAAAAAATCTACTTATTATTACTCTTAGTGATTTTCAAAACAAGGTTAAGTAAGGCCAAGTACTCATAAAAAATATTTCCCTCTTGTCTCATTAATTAAGCAGCTATTTAAGAAAATAACTTTATATAGATGTTTACAGTAAGCATAAAAATAAAGTGGTTTCATTTGGCAAGGGCAGGATGAGAACATAAGTCAAGAGCAATGTTAAAATCTCAGTTGGAATATACGCCCAGTAATCTTTTAAAGCCAAAATGATTTGCCAAGAATTTTAATGCAATTTACGAGTGCATAGATTGCCTGAAGCTAGTTATAAAATTGGTTTCAGTCAGCTGGATCAATGATCCTCAACCTGAAAATCTCCCATAGCCAACACAAGTACTACAGACATCTTTTTTCTAGGAAAGGAAAAAGGAAAGAGGAAAAAGGAAAGAGGAATGGAAAGAGGAAAGGAAAAGAAAGAAAAAAGAAGGCCAGCATTTATTTTTTATTACAAAGCTAGCAGTTCTGAAAAAAATGAGCAAAGCTGAAGTAATCCATTAAGTCCGTAATGCACATTTTCAAAATTACCCATATGAAAATGCGTATTTACCAGATTGAGCAAACGGCTGCTGCAGGGCAGGTATTTTTAGTATCTTAATTTTTAATCTTTTTTTAAATCTTAAATCAGCAAGCCTGAACTATGCCAGAGAAATGAGTGAGGCTATTACCATTGATATCAATTATTCAAACAATACATGATAACTCTTTTTTTTTTTCTTTACTGGGGTGTGTCTAGAAATAAAACCGTGGGTCTAGGTTGAGACTTGCTCTCTAATGCCAAACCTCTACCAGGGAATGGATCACATGATTAAGTGACCTCAAATCCTATATCCATGATCCATGCAATGATATTGAACAGGGGCATTTCTGGCTGTTTCTCACAACCTCAATATAGCTTTGTGTCCAAGAATCTTTTGTGTCATCTGCAAACAACAGAGCATTTGCTAAGCTGGGGAAGGAAGTCAGCCAAAACATGAAGGCAAAGAAAGCCCTCTCTGCTTTTCAATCCTCAGCAAATCAGCAGGTTTATGTAAATAGAGCAAGAGCATGGTCTTCTCCAGGGTAAAAACCATAGCCTGAAGCATCAGGCAGTCTGTTATCCTGAAACACAAAGAACCTGTCAGCATCCTTCCTGACAGCCTCCTCCCAGAGCACAGTGGACACCTACTTCACCAACTAATTGAGCAAGCAGCGCTGTGAGCCCAGCATTAAAGCTGTGGTCACAATGTGCAGGCAATGCTCAGTCTGTGCTGAGCTCTGTCCTTTAAAGAATTTCCCTCCTGTTAATGCGTTTCTGCCCCCTTAATCACTGAAATACCTTCTCATCCCTTTGCAAGGTATGGCAGTGCCACTGTAATGTAATTTCCAATAGAAAACTTTCTACTTGTTTAAAGAAAAAAAAAAAGAAGAAGAAGAAAAGAAGAGAAAAAGCATGCATAAACAGACTTCCTCACAAACAAATTTCCCAGAGACACACAGTGTGGCACAGTGGTGGACAAGGAGGCTGGACTCTCAGGACTGCTCCATCCTTCTGTGCTCCGTTTCTCTTACACAGGATTCCTCCACCCTGGAAACTCTGAACCATTCTGTGAGGTAACAGCTGATTGGTCTAATGTTACAGATTCAAAAGTCCACAAGTATCTCACTAGTTAATATGGGTGTTTCCAAATGTCCAACATGCAAAAAGGTATGTAGCTATATGCGTATGGAAGAAACAATACTGAAACCCCAATCTGCACTGCATGGTCTACAAAGGCAGGGCCCCTCACCTCTCCAGCAGCCTCCATCTGTACAACAGTCAAATCCATCATCATTTCTCACCTCTATAACAATACACTACATTCCACAGTAAACACTCAAAAACTATACAAGGAGCAATTGACCTGAACAAAAATGTAAAAACACAAAAGCAGTTATATGAGATCCTATTAAGAACGCTGTTGTGTACTATCAATGTGAACACAAAGAATGCTGTTTTCTAATAAATACTTCTTTAAGAAATAACTCAA